AATATTAATATAATTGTAATATAAAGAAATAATAGATTTAAAAATTTAAAAAAAATTGTATCTCAGTGACATGGATTAAATAAAAGCTAAATTATATATATATATATATATATATGCAGTCCGACCCTGATTTAACGAATTCATAGGGACCAAAAATATTGGTGGATAATTCGTAATATCGGGGGGGGGGGCTAAAAATAAAAAAATTTACTAACCTTGTGAAATATTCGATCATGTCTAATAAGCAAATACACAAAATAAATAGAAATCTTACACTTTTTATTCAGGAACTTAAAAGGTTACACGCTGATTAATTTCGAATTTTAAAGCATTTCATGAGTAAGGTCTGCTTATTTCCTTGATTTCTTACTTTAAAAAATTCTTTTTCAACGTCATGAAGAGAAGAAAATACTCCTTTATTCACTGCATTCGGTAAGTTTTCACTGCTTCCAAACCGAGCAAAGCATCAGAGAAAGTAACAGTTTTCAACTGAGATACATTATCATCCAGCGTTGCTACTCATTGTTTCCAATGAATCTACTTCATTAACTTAATAAAATTTGTTAAATAGGGGTTCGAATGTATATTGACGTTTGATAAGGTGATGCAGTAAAGTACTGCTATCTATGGAGGGACGAGAAAGCTGCATGTTCATTGCACGTGGTCATGAATGTTATTGGTTGCCAAAAGTACATTCGTTGTCCTCTGGCTGGGATTAAACCTGTGACTTTTTGGTCTGTAGTTGAATGTTTTACAATAGTACAAAACAATAATTAAACCCATTGTCACATATGCAGCTAAAACTTGCGCTACCACTCAGAATGAAGAAAATATACGTCTTACTATTGCGAGAAAGATTCTCAGGAAAATATACAGATCAACCAAAGATGGAGGTTTTTGGAGAATTAGGAGAAATTTAAAGTTAAGTGAACTATATGAAGATAAAAAAATATTTAATAAAAACAAAAAAATACAATGGTTTGGACATCTGGAGCAAATGGGTGAGGAAAGAGCAACAAAGAAAAATAGAGGGAAAGAGAAAGTTCGGAATCTCTAATAAAAAGATGGCTTGATGAGGTAGGGAGAGATCTGAAAATAAAAAAATAAAAAAATGGGAGGCAAAAGGTCAATTATCGGAAAAAATGGAGCTCTGTAGTAAAGGAGGCCATAGTCCTTCATGAACTGTAGAGCCGAGGAGTAATAAAGTAAGTAAGTTGGATGTTCTAGGTGGCCGGGTATGAAAGAATAGTCCCAATGCATGTCGTGAAAGGCGACAAAATTAGCTACCCAGCGTCCGGGGTATAGCCAGGCATCTTCTCCTGGATATTATATCAGAGAACTGGTCCTCCAGGTTGGGGTTAAGCATGAGGTTTACTACCTCATCTCGTGAAAAACTACTAGTTTCGAAAGGCAACCATGATAAATCTGGATAGACTCAACATCGAGGACTTCGGGAATTAAGGACCGCGTAGTTAAGGATCTTGCATTGGAAGCCCATGTGCGATTGGCCCAGATGCAGACCAAGGAAAAGGGAATGGATGATATATTGAATGATTTAGAAACTGTAAAGATCTCCAACAGAAAGATCAAGCTCAGGAACAGACGCGTCTGGAGCAATATAGGGTGTCGTGACAGGCTAAAGTCCACCCTGGGCTGTAGTACAAATGAAGAAGAAATTGGATGTCGTAAATCCCATGAAAAAAGGTGATCACCCAACCAAGTTAAATTATATGAAGCTTTAAATAGTTGCAGCCGAAGAGTCGTCAACCAGACAAATTTTATGTAAAGTAAACTACAGAAACTTGCTGCATTCAAGAGTTGTTTCTTTACATAAGACAGCAGAAAAGAGCTGTATCAAAATGCCTTGCTTATTGTTGTTTTTAAGTTAGAGTATTTTGAATTCGAAGAAGAAAAATATGCACATAAAAATTAAAATCTGTATCAATGGTTATGAGTTTTATCTGTTTACCAAACAATGCCATTTGACTGACTGAGAGGTAATCTTATAGTAAATTTCGGTAGTTCTATAGAACGTCAATTTTATGCAGGAAAGCTACAAGGACTATCACGAACAATCTACTGATGAAGGGGCTATTAAATATTAAAATTATTAATTGATATTAAAAATAAATTCAAAACTTTCACAACACATTAACACAGAATGCTAAAATATATTTAAATTCCACAGCTGTGAAATTGAGAAAACATCTATAGAATATTAAATACATTTCCTTGCTGAATTCTCAACAATCAAATTTAGTTGAAAATAAAAAATGAAAAAGTACAAATGTTATTGGTTATTTTGTATTTGCAGAAAAATATGTTAAATGAGGGATTTTTGAAATCGCAGCACATTTTTCAGCAATCTAAATGAGAAACATTTGGAAAGGAAAGATCATAATTACATTAAAATTAGCAACATCATTGGCTTACTTAGCTTTATTTGAATCTAAAGGTGAAAAGGTTAACTAGAAGAAATTTGTTATTACTTACAGTAAAGGGAAAAAAATTATTCTTATGTTTTAGCTTTGTATACTCACTTTGGAGCTGGATTGCCTTCTGCTTCACAAACTAGCCTGGTGCTCTGATATAGGCTTACTGTAGTTCTCGGAGCAGGATACACACGATTTATTTTTGGTTTAACTGAAATAGTTAAAGCTCTATTAAAGCAATTGAAATTCTTCATAGTATAAAAATTTACTTTCATATAATTTTTTATATAAATTTCTAAAAATTTAATTTTCTGGGATGTTCGTTATCCGTTTCGAGGCATTTCCCAACTATCTAGGTTGATCGAGGAAGTCTATCCCTTACAAAAAATAAGGTATTTTTGAGGTTATTCTGTGGCTGACAAGTGCAAAATAATTTACCTGAGGTAGAAAATGAGGTAATTTTCGGGCCCAAAACAACCGCATCAATAAATCTCTTCTTCAATCTCACCTACACCTCATAAAATCAACCAGATATATGGCTCTGGGAAACTTTTGCTTAAATTATTCACTCTTTAATTATATTAGCTAACTATACTAAATCAAATATGCTAATTAGTGAAAAAAGAAATAAAAACATGTACACTTTAAATATAACCTGTCTTCATTGGTTGCTCTCAAGTAGATTTCTATTAACCTCAAATCAACCTCAAGCGGGAAAAAAAAACTTCATACACTTTGAATATTATACCTAGAAATTACACCTTAAAAAATTGAACCTTAAGAGGTTGATTTTTTAAGGTTGACATTGAAGTCAACTTCAAATAAACCTCTAATCAATCTCAACATCTCAAATAAACCTCAGAAACATCTTACAGTTTTGTAAGGAATATTTACTTCAATTCAATTCATTTTAAGAATTATTTTTCATACAATAAGATACGAGAAAAAAATGAAATTATAACGGAATTATTGTAAAAAACGAAATTATGGAACTAAAATATTTTTGAAAATTATCTCACAAACAACTGTTGGTTACGAATTGATTTAGAGAAAAAAACTTATTGATTTTAAATTTCTTTCTAAAACTACAAATTTGCATCTCGGATGCAATTTCAAAGATACTATGCTAAGAAAGAAAAAAATCACTTAAAAAGGGCATGTATTTTTTTTATAAACATAGGTCAATTTTATTTATGGAATTTTTTGCCTATTCAAAATCTTTTTCTGTTAAAAAATAAATAAATAAAAAATTCATCCACACAATGCAAAGTTTTGAACATCAGAAAGAAAATGGGAAGTAATATAATACAATTTACGATTATATTAAAATTCAACGAATATTTTGTTCAACTTAAAACTTTGATAACTTTCTTCAATCAAATAATTTCCATAACAATGAGCGATGTGCATTTTGAATCTTTATCATAATTCTCGTCATAAAAGAATTCTAATTCAAAAATCACTGTGAAAAGCCTTTTCGAAGAAGGTAGAATACGAAATGGCCTTTCATACGATTCAAAAGGTTCTAAAATCCACTCTCAGTTCCATCTTGATTGAGAAACGAGTCCTATAATTCCTACGCGGACATATAGACTTCCTTTTAAAATCGTCTGCTGCATTTGAAGATCAAGCAGACGATCTGAAAGCCGGGCTTTGATATGTAAATCAGAGAAATCGTTTGGTAGCAAGTTAGGGTAGATGTAGGAGAAGGAGGGGGTAAAGAATGGATAAAGCTTAAGAAGAGAGAGATTTAGTTCAGGAAATTTTCTAAGACCGAATAAATGGTAATGAAAAAAAAAGGAAGAAAATTGACGTGGACAAAGGAAAATCCATCCGAAAAGAGAACTTTTCGTTGAAGTTCGATTTCAATCAAAAATGTCATCCGCAGATGGTTTTGACTGACTGACCTTTCTTTATTTGAAAGAATCCTTTATTTGCTCAGCGTTAAATGATATTTTCAGCTGCTGTCGACATTTACGTCTTGAAATATAACTTTTTTTTGAAATTATTGTGAAAACTGTTGTAGTAGACTTCAAACAATAAATGTGAAACGGTATTCTCCCATTTCTGAGAAAGTCATTAATAACAGGTCAAATTGATCGAATTTTGTCTGAAACTTTTTGATGGGTTACAAGAGCCTGAAGTAATCTCGAATGGCTATTGAAAATTGGGAAGGATATGGTATAGGTTATTTGAATTTAGCGTTTCTGAACTTTATAGAGAAATTGAGAAAAACTGAATGACCTGTTAAGTTGGCTAAAACATATCAGAAAAGGATGGACCTAAAGTAATCTCAAATAATAGTTCAAAATTGTATAAAATATTATACAGACTATTGAAATGTAATATTTTTTACTTCATATTAGCAAAAACTGCACGACATAAAAATCGTGAAAAACAAATTTTTACAAAAACATAAAAAAATGTATTCCTCTATTTTTAAAAAAATATATAAAAATTTTTTAGAATCAATCAAGTCTGAAAATGTTTGTAAGGTAACATAACTCTAATATTATCACAAATAGTAGATTGAAATTATGGAGGGTATTGTATAGGCAATTGCATAGGCTATTAAAATGCTATATTCGTTTAAATAATCAATGTACAAAAACTGTATTGCATAAAAACGTAAAACAATAATTTTCTCTCTCTAAGAAAGACATTAATAACAAAAAACAACGATCAAAGCATGCCTGAAATATTTTGATAGGATGCCTGGTATCAAGAAATAGTTCAAAATAACAGGGAGTAGCTTAAATGAGGTAAGAAGTGAAATACTTCTTATAAATACGTGTTTTGGTTTTAGATTATCGTATTACACATTTAGTATAAGTTTCTTTTAGTGATTAGTTAAAACAAAGAATTAAAATGACTTTAGTAGGATACACTTAAACAATACTGCACAAGTTTCGGAGCAATCCAATTCATTTTACAAAATATCACCGGTTCTAATTGGAGGTTATTCTTATGTCTGCATATCGTGACTACCAACTTTCTTCAATTCTTTTTAACTCAACCTAACAGTTACTTCCACCTAATAATTATTATTTTTCATACATTCCGTTTATATTAATAAAAAAACATATAAACACATTAATCTATCTCTACTCAATTTTCATAAATAACTCATTTGAATAGTCATGTACAATAAATGAAACCATTTTCGTGATCTTTAAATAAAACTGTGTGATTCTAAGTAAACAAAAGTCTGATTCAAATATCAAAACTAAAATGATCCATCACTTATAATTTTTCCAATAGAAAAGTCACCAAATTTGTGGTAAATTCTCGGATAACTCGTTTACAATTGCATTTAAAGCCTCGAAAATTCGAGAAGGTAGATAAAGCTTTTGTAGTTGAAATGTTCATCAAGTATGAGATGGAATTCTTTTTCATTTTCCCGTAAGTTGTGTGTTGTTAAAATACGTAAAGTTGTCATTGTCAAGTTATTTTTTTTTTTTGAAAGAGAGAGAATATTGCATTGTAAAAAAAATATTTACGGTTTCATTACTTTCAGTCACAAATCTATAACAAACACATATTTTAATCTTAGGAGCACATTTCATTCCTTACACTGAAATCTAAGATTTTATAGCCGACTCAGGAAAACAGAAAATATTTCCACAAATAAAATAAATGATTACCTTCCACCCCAACTGATTTCTATATCTTTGCTTTCTCCAAAATTGTTATTGGCAAAATAACTGTGTATTCCTGATTCTGTTCATCGAATGGAGATGAAATTACTATAGAATATTGCTCGATATTTTTTGTTTACTATCACCTTACTTTCATATTACTCTTATGTCATATTAAACATGTTATACTCTTATGTCATATTAAACATATTATACTCTTATGCTATATTAAACATGTTACACTCTTATGTCATATTAAACATATTATACTCTTATGCCATAATAAAATAAAACTGTGATCAAATTCAAATGAACTAAAATTCATTGCATCTTGAAAAATAAAGTAAAATTTAATTTATCTTTATTAATTCCTTTTACATTCAATTTGCTTCTAAATAACCTTTAACTTTAGATCTGAATCAGGCAAGTAGAAAATATTGCCACAAAAAAAATTAAGAAACATATATAAGCAATGCTTACATTTCACATCAACTGTGATTTCCATTTCTTCGCTTTGCCCAATATCGTTCTTGGCAGAACAGCTGTATATTCCTGAATCTGTTCTGCGAATGGGTCTGAACTCTATATGATCCTTGATGTCGTATATGCCAGAATGCCCAGATTTTCTCCAGATGATATTGGCTTTCGGATTTGCGTCGGCTTTACAACGTAATGTCAAGGACATATCCTCGACAATTTCTTGTTTTGGTTTTCCTTCCAGGCTTATTTCTGGGGGATCTGTAAAAGAACAAACTTTCTTTAAAAATGTCATTCTACTCACCCAATCGAATTTTTTTTTCCTTTCGTCTTCACGAAATGGCACCTAAATTTAAAAAGTCAGAAAAACTTTTACAGGGACTTGTAATTTATTTCACAACATTATTTACTATTTCGTATTAATTCAAGGTTAGAGTGCAGAAATTTGTAGTCTGCAATGTAAAGTAGCGACTTATATGAAATTTTATTCTAAATCAAAGCTAAGTAAATACACAAAAATTAAAATCTCAGTATAATAATGCGAGAAGAAAAAAATCAGTAATTTATTTATTTATTATATTTCGTAAGCAGAATACCATACTATAAAGCTCTAATGCCACCATCATTCAGAAGAAGATAAGATCACCATCACAATGAGAATATATCTTATATCACGTGATTTACTAAAAGTGAAAATGATACAGGGCAATGGCCAAATTTTTCTCTTGCTCTCCACCTTTGGTTGACATCAGCATTAATTTTTTAAAGTATTAAAATAGTGCTTCCTTCTAGAATATTTTTGAGGAGGGAGCTTGGCCTCCTGTTCGCTACCGCTCGCCAACCTTGATGATCGCTTAGAAAATATTGTGGTTCCTAGACTTAATGCAGTTTTTCTTTCGAAAGTTGAAATTATTCACTTGAAGTGCATGTACTAAAAATATTCATTTTTGAATACGTTTGCCACCCCCCCCCCCTTTTCAAGGCCAAGCAATTCCCTGATGAGTCTATTAAGATCTAATAAAAACAAAAATAATTTTGATTAGCAATATTTTGTTAAAAAAACGTTTAAAACTAAAGGTACATTTTATTATATATTATAGTGCACAAGCGTAATTTAATATTTTTGTTTACCAAGTTCGCTAATATATTAAATGAAATGTGCGCATACTTCTCTTTGTGCTTCACTCTGATCAAATCTGTTAAAGAATATCTTCAACGGTAATTTATAATAGTATAGTAACGCTGTTTGCCCTAAAAAAGGTTAGTTGTAAAACGATTAATTAATTTAGACACCTATATAAATAAGTTTATCTTAAAATGTAGCGTATTAAAATAATATCATAGAATTAATTAGCATAGAATTGAAATTCATTCTGAATAAAATTTTTATCATATTTGGCTGATTTATACAATTTAAGAGGCAAATTTTAAGATTCTACATTAAACAATTATCTTTTCGGGTATACGATTATTTATTATTGAAGATTACAATAACAATCACTCTCATTTCAAATACGTTGCATAAGGAATGTTTTAAGATGAGAATCTATTAAAATGAATTTTTTTCTTCATTTTTGCAGTTTTTTTTTATTTAGGATATTTTTTATTAATTAAGTAATATTAAAATTAGATTAGAATTTAATAATAAACGCAATCCCTATTTTAATTAAAAATCACTCTTTTGAGGGCGGCTTTGTTTTTCCTTTACACAAGAAATGTGTTGGACTTATCATCATAAATTGCTTAAAAATATAAATGAGAATGGAATCAATAGAAATTCTAATTGGAATTATCATTTAAATAGTTAACAGTAAAAAAAATGTTCCAAATTAATCAATATGTTATCTAAATGATATCGCTATTAAAACTTTTTATCTACATTTTCATTTTTCTCTAACTCAAAACCAATCAAGGAATTTTTTGACGCATTTAAAGGAAAATACGTAAAAGAAAAAAGTTTTATTTTATTTTATCAAGCAAAGTTTCAATAAATGTTTGAAGTTCAAAGAGCTAATGATTTTAAACATGTTTTACATTTTGTGAATGTAAATCACGTATCAGATGTACAGTGCGTAAAAAATTAAACTGACTACTCTGAATAACTTTTTATTCGATCTTCACTTACTAGGACTCAATATTAATGGTTTGAGAATGTGAGCTCAAATATGCTAATTAATTGGTGCAGACGACATTTCAAATTTTGAAATCAGACACAAAAGCTTTTTCTCTGAATAAGCATAAATTTTTTCGACGGATTCGGATTTCTGACCCCCAAATTATAGGACTATCCGCAATCTGGGAAATTTGGACAGGAGAGCGGTCGAAAGTTTTGACTCCCTAATGCTAATTTTACTTTTTGCGTATTTTGCCATGTCTTAAGAACTTTTTAAGTGAATTGAAAACTTTTTGCGTACAATGATAAAATTTGTTTATCCAAGGATAATTCAAAGCAAAATATAACTCCCCGTAAATATTTATTACTTTTTCCTGTTTTATTTAATAAAAGTCGGAAAAATTAAAAGGAACCTAAGAATGAAATTTTAAATGGCAAAATACAAAATTTAAGCAAAAATAGCACTTTTTTGAAATTTGGGGTACTTTTGATCATTAAATTAAAAGTTGTTCAGGGTGACCCGTTTTTTATTTTGCTTACTGAACTTAAAAATAATATACAACCCTTAGTCCTGCCTTTTCCTACTTATTAATATTGTCTAATATATATCACGTAACTGTCTTCATTGCCGTATTGTCTAATGAAATATTACTTAATATGAAATATATTTTACTATTTATGACAATTAAGCATCATTTTGCAGATATATATTATATTTTTTAGTTTAGACTAATCTGTTGAATTATTGTTTTTTTTTTCTCTTTCTTTTATATTACTAATCTAAAACTTATATCTATAATATTGCTAGTAATTATTTTAGTCAAACCAACCAAGGATTAAGAAAAAACGATTATGAAAATAAAAGATTTTGTTCTAAATTATCAGATCGTATGATTGATGGTCATGACAAATAAATAAAAATAAAATAAAATTTTATGTTTTTAGGCGTAGAACATCATTTGTCAGTGGTATAAAAGTGTTGAAATGTATGTTCCGTTCGTGCATGACCAAACACTACAATAGGATGACCATCGCCCAGGTTTACATCCGGGAAACTAATTGTCCAATGACCTGCCGGAACTAATTTATTCTTTCCGTGGAAGTTAACATGCGAGGTAACGGGAAAATGTGAAACAAAAAGAAAAACTGAAAATAATATTTCTAGCTTCCAGATTATTTAAATAAACATATCTTTTCCAAGTTGCTTTGACAAAAATCGTTTTAAAACGTAAAGATTATTATTTTTATCTAAAAGGAATAATTTTTTGTTCAGGTTTTAAACTTTTATTGTTAATTCCGATTTAGCTTTATAAATCGTATTTTATTTTAATTATTGAAATAAGCAAAATATTCGAGTGAGTGAGATTTAAGTACATATGTTAAACTGTAAAAACAAAAATTGAGTTTCAAAAGATTAAAAAAATATATAATTGTAAAACTGTAAGATTGTTTCATTTTAATTGGTGGATTACTTCTAAAATAAAGGATTAGAGCAATTTGTAAATAGCTTAAATACTAAATAAGGAAGTTCAAGTTTTTTTTCTTCTCAAATGACTGTTCCAATGTTTTTCTTTTACTAATCCTTCTTTTCTTGCTTAGTGTAAATGTGTGGAAAATGAAGTACAAATAAATTTTTAATAAAAGTGTAATAAAATGATGATATTTCATAATTTTCTTACAATATTATATTTTAAAATAAGTCACTTATAATTTTACATTTTTAGAATAATTGTGAATAAACATGAATTGTAAATAAATTTTTATGGAATACACATGAGTTTAAAAGACGCAAGTCTAATTTAAAATAATGATATATGGGTGATTCTCAGGAAATATGACAATTCACTGTCCCTTGCTCCAAGATCTAATACCATAATACTAAAAGAACTTTTTTAAAAAAAATATTAAGTAGCATTGTTGTTAGCATTTTAAAATGACTTTGCACTAGCATTGACTGTTTTGTATACTTAAAAAATTTAATTGAATATCAAAATGTCATTTTTCTGGCATGTCCCAAACAATGTTTCCAATGACTAGTTTCAAAACTTCCCATAAATTTTTCAATAGCTAATTTTTTTTTATCTCAGCCGGTGTAAGCATTTCTAGAATATGCGTAGAGGGTATTATTTGCAAAAAATAATTTTTTCAGTCTATAATTTGTTTGTCCCAAGAAAATCTGTCATTTTTCTGGATACTTTTATTCAGTGGTTTATAACCAAAATAGATAGAGGCCCCAATCAATATCTTATGTCAATAGATTGATTTGATACCCTTCTATATGAACATGTCTTGTTGCATGATTAAAAAACCAATTTTCTGGTTCAAAATTTATTTCAAAAAATTTTTCAAGATGAGTAGGTTTTTGTGTTATCATTTTCCTGGCTTCTTGAAATCATTAATAACATAAACTACATAGATTTATCTGAGTTATTTTTAAGAAATCATGATGTTTTCTGCAGAATATAAACCTCTTAGGTCAAAATATAAAATTAAAGTAAAGTTATATGCTATAAAATGGCGAATTTGTCATTATTCTGGCTGTCAGTTTCCTGGCTTATGAATGACAGGGCATTGAAGTGTTACCAGAGATTTTTTTTAACTGCTAATACTGTAAGGAGGGAAAGCAAATATTAACCTAATACCAAGTTTATGTATGATTGTAATATGCTTGGATCTAATCAAAGTTATTTATTTATTTAAAGATTAATTATTATACACAATTTTATTCTGTACATATCAGCAACAAAAAATTTTTTGTTTCTTTCTACAGTGGATAAAAAGAATAAAATTAAGCTATCCGTTAAATTATTTATTGAAACAATTTTAATATGAAAGTTTGTGTAATGAATATAAGCATTTACATAAAATGGAATCGATTGAAGATTTTTGCAATTTTAGTTAATTTCGTTTAAAATCATTTCCATGCTCATGAAACAAATTTATTTGCCCCTTAAATCTAGAAATAATTTGCCCTATAATAATTTTCTTGCACACATAACTCCGAAGATCTTAACTTACTTTCCTTATGTTCCTATGTCTTCAATTCAATGTCCGATAACGTCGTAAAATGTAATTTGACATGTAATATGTTTGAAATGTTCTGAAAATTAAAGGCGAGTAAATAACATGTATCATTTAGATTAATTAT